AGGGAGAAACTGAGTGTGTGTTTGCAGAATCTGTCTCTTAAACTCCAAGAAAATAAAAGTGATAAAGTTTTGTGTTACCAAGATTTTTATTACACAAAATTATTTTTATTACACACAAAAAAAATTATTATGCCAAAAAAATGTATTGTGAGAAAAAAACTTTATCAATTCAAAAAATTGGCAGAAAAGTGAGCCCTTTCATTAAAACTTTGCTGTCTCTTGGCTTCAGGGCTTTTGAGCAGTAGTTTTGTTTTTCTCCATCATCTTGATGCTGACTTTTTGTTTAAATTAAATGGCAGCGACTTGGAGTTGTGTGTGATGAATGAAATGCTTGGTGATAGCTCGTATGGCAGTATGAGGCTGGGGGAGAACCCTGTCGCCTTCTACTCATGTCTTCATTAACAAGGGCTGAGACTAGGTGGGGTGAGTGCAGGTCCGTCTCGAATATGAACCCACACGCTGTACCCAGGACACCTCAAGGTGGGTGCCGCAGTTTCAAATGCAGATCACTAGACAGGCAGGTGGGTAGGCAGGTGTCTTCAGCACCTGAGCCTTGCCTTTGACCTTGCCTGCCACTTCTCAGTTTTGAAGCTTACTGCAAAGCCATAGAAACAGTGTGGTAAGGCTAATAAGTTTACACATACAGAGAATTGAGAGTCCAGAAATAAACCCTTAGGTTTATGGTCAATTGATTTTGACAAGGGAGCCAAGACACTTCAATGGTGAGAGAGTACTCTTTTCACCAAATGTTGCTGGGACCACAAGTTATCCACATGCAGAAGAATAAATCTGGACCCTTACCTCACACCATACACAGAAATTAATTCAAAATGAATCAAAGATCTAAAATATAATTGATAAAACTGTGAAACTCTTAGAAAGGAGAAAACTCTGATGGCCTTAGATCAAGTGGTCATCTCCCAGCTATGACACCAAAAGCACACATGACAAAAAGAAAAATAGATAGACTGGACAGTCTAAAAATTAAAAAAAAAACTTGTGTACTTCATTGGACACCAAAAATAAAATGAAAAGACAAACCACATAATGCGAGAAAATTTTGCAATTCATATTCTGAAGACAGTCTATTTAGAGTATATAAAGAACTCTTATAGCTCAACAGTAAAAAGGTAAGTAATTCAATTGAAAAGTGAGCAAAGGGCTTGATTACACATTTCCAAAAGAAAAAAAAAACACACAGATGGCCAAAAAGCTCATGAAAAGGTAGTCAGTATTATTAGTCATTAGGGAAACACAAATTAAAATCCTGAGATAATCACTTTACTCCCCCTGGAATGGCTAGAATCAAAAAGGCAAACAATGGTGAGGATGTGGAGAAACTGGAACCCCATACATTACTGG